TAACACAGGAAACAACGGGAGGCAAAACAGTGGCACTCCTTTGCGGGGGCACATGGCACGCACATGATAACCCTCAAAATATATTTCGATTACAGTCTGGCTTCGGACCCACTAGGCTTACGTCGCATAACTGTCTACTTATTTAGTACTAGTAAGCACGTTTTTCTTACCAAAAGTACGGTAAGTCTATTCACATTGTACTCCACACACGGAAATCTTTAGCATCCTGCTTTCTCTTTTAGTTTTATTAGTTTTAGCATTCTCTAATATGGGTCCGGTAAAAGGGGTAGTAATAGGGGTTAAATGGGTCGAAAATATGAAGGGAAAGAAATAATAATTTAAAAAGTAGAGCAAATAAAAGTAGAAAATAACAGGGATAATTATTTAAGTAACCAAAGTTTGGCTTATCGTACTAAAATATCTGTTCAAATGCACGGAAGCTATTTTGGGTTAAAAAACTGGAAAAATCGATATTTCATGGCTTTACCCTATTCTCTAAAATTCCATATAGAGTCGATATACCATTGTATCCAATTCACGGGTACTATTGTGCATTACATGTTCCCTATTGGCTGCATTTATGATTTTAATTCTCGCGTGCCAAGCCTTATGTAGTAGTTATTCATACTATTTTCTACTTTTATTCGCTCTAATTTTAATAGTTTTTTCTTGCGTCTAATATGCCCACCCATTTAACCCGTATTACCACCGGTCCCGTACTACAAAATACTTAGGTTTCGCATGCTGTAGTGAGCCCGAAACCAGACTGTTGCCTTAGTACATTTCAAAAACAACCACAGGCAACCGTAATCTCTAAGCCCAACAGAAGAACTACTCGTTTTAGAGTGAATTGAACGTTTTCCACGAAACTGCGCGCACTCTAACCTTTCTTCATTTACCTGTATATTTTTTTGCATTCAGTTGTGCTATACTTACACGTAGAAACACAACGATTAGAACATTGGACTTCTGACCGTTGGGCCGCGGGTTCGAGCCTCAGGCGTTGCTTCACCTGGGGTTGGGAATAGGCCAGAAATGGTCATTACATTCCCCATTGCCCTTGTCGGCATTGCACAACTGCCTACACTACTAGCCGTTCTGTGGCTGTTGGCCGCGCTCGACAGTGAGTCCTAGTTACTAGCTGGACGAATGGGTTCCGTTAGATATCGGTTAGCATTCATCAAAGAACCAAACACAATCCTTCCTTTTCGAGCAAAGCTTCCATACTGGTCATAACTAAACAATACGCTATGTACCTTTTGAAATTCGATGGAACATTCGTGCATTACTTATGTATACATATTTAGTTAATGTGATTTTAGCAGTTGGCTGGAAAGATACTCATTTTAAAACCAGCATCCTAACGTGTATGAATACCCTGAAACGATGCTGTATGCTAGTCAACTTGACAGCTTGAATTCCTTAAACCTTCAAAGTAACAATCATATTTTGGGTTTTCCTTCTGTCTCCCTTTCCCCCCCTCTCCCTAATTGCCGCTTAATTAGCCGCTTGTTACTTCCCCAACCCCCTCCTCTATTCCCTGGACTAACTGGCCTGTAACGTTTAGCGTAATTTACCTACATTTTTACACTTTATCCCCCTTCCGTATAAATGTAACGGCCTGATGAGAACCTATTGAAAATATACGTATGCTCGCCAATTGCTCTTTGGATTTCTCGTAATTTTTTAATGAATCTGGTCACTTACTGCCACTTCCTGTGTAAAAATGATCTACTTATTTTTCATTTTCAAGTCCTAGAGGATGTTATACGGCCGATTTCTGATGCATAGGCGTTGTCAAAGTCCTTTTCCTAAGCTTTGTGAATTTATGCGCACAATGAAACAGTTTATTGTATAAAATGTAGTTGATCCAATTGCGAAAAATTCGCGGTCTCGGTGGGAGTCGAACCCACACAGCAGGGGAAGCTTTTGCGCAGCCAACGCTCTGCCATTAAGCTATGAGGCTCACCGTGCGCAGTGAATTTAATCACACACAGATCGATTTTACCTGC